CCCGCTGGCAGGAGGTCACGGGACAGACCCAGCAGGTGCAATCGGTCGACTGACTGAGGACTGTCCGATGCACCGCCTGTGCCAACTCGCTGTGTTTTAGCCACCAGGCCCATCCACACACAAAACTCCCCACCTCAACGCCGCATGCCTATCCATTGTATGACTTTGAATTAATGGATCGAAACCCGCTCGCTGTAAATGGTAGCACCGATAGGCCGACGCTCCGACCACGCAGTTCAGACTGACAACTTAGTTGGTGATTAAACCGTTCTCTACAGATTGTTAGGCAGTACATTTTCCATACCCTATTTTCAAAAGCGAATGGTGGTGGGCAGGTGGGTCTTTTAGACCGGTAGGCAGTCGTGTGTGGGCAGTTGGAGGCAGTCGCCCTCCAGCAACAACGGAGAGCAGAGCAGCGACGCTCACAACAACGAGCGGAGCGCCGGGCGACTAAAGTAGTAGGGGGTACAGCTGGTGCATCTGTCAGTCATCTCAAGCAGCCAACCGTGCTGGGTCTGTCCCGAGACCTCCTGTCAGCGAGCCATCGACACTTCACGTGGCGTCAAAGTGCACCTAGCCTGGCACAGTCGCCGTGGTGACGTCACGGTCACTTTGCGGCGAACGGCGGCTGTGTTGGTATCGGTGTGTGTATGAGACCAGATTGATTTAACCAGATTTACACCTGGCCACAAGTTATGGGGTGCGTCTTCACGAATCATTTTATAACGCGGAGATCACGGTATTTATTTAATTAATGGGAGATAGCTTCATGGATACACTGGTGCTGTATTGTTCTCAACGTATGCAGGGCTTGCCGTTGTTGTAAGTACAAGAAGTTGTAACCCCACGTGATTGAATAAAACGTCACGTCTGCACGTTGTCCCCGAACTGTCGTCATCACTGCTGCGCGTTGTATCCCCTCTCGCTTGAGCGGTGGGTGTTCTCCGGGTTCTCCCGATTTCTTCCCACGTGGAACTCACTGGCCAAGCGTCCCAAATGGAGCGGCACCCCCTCTAGACAAAGGTTCTTGAGACTCAGTGAGGCTGTCCCGTCCATAAATAATTGTCACGGATAATCCGTGTTATAGGATGCACCCTAATCTCCCACCCAACCTCCTGTATACAATTTAAAATAAGAAATGAAGTTGAGGGTGCGTCTCATACTCCAAACATCGCCACGAGCAAGACAACGGCGGCCGGGCGTGGTGCTGGCCACCCACCCCCTCGTGTGCCGTGCCGGCCTTCACAGGTGCTACTCGCGAACAGCACTTGCCCCAACACTCTGTTAAGGCTATACGGGGGGAGGGATCTTTGTCTTTGGTGTCGCAGCGCGCTGCGCTACGACCCGAATTTGATTCCCTCTCACGGCATCAACACCGGTGACGGTGATTATCTGAACCGGTCCTGGGCTTCCCCTAGGTTGACTGAGCCTCAAATGAGCACTTGGCACGGTCTTTGTGCGAGTCTACGCCACCGGTGAGACAAAGGCGGCCGGGCATGGGTGGTGCTAGCCACCCACCCACCCCCTCGTGTGCAGTGGCGGCCTCAGCAGTTGCTCGCTGTTTCAAAAACAAATTCTCGGCAGTCTTCATCATTAATCGATTTGGTAAATTTAATTATTTTTCGCCCGAAAGGACAATCTGTGTAGGTGGAGCGAGATGACGGGGAGAAGTGTGGGGGGAGGGGGGGGGGGCGCTGGAGATGAGGGAGGCGGGGCTGTGGGGGGTTTGTAACGATGGAACACTTTCTGCCTAATATCACCACGCCGAGTACAATGCGCAAATACGTTTAGCAGCAAAGGTCAGCCGCGCGTGTGATCAATACAGAGTAATAGTGTTCATAGCGCGGTCTGTGTGTGTATGTGTGTGTCATAGAGAGACACACATACACACGAAGACAAAGACTCCCCGTACAGTCTTAAATACTTTCGGGGCAAGTGCTGTTAGTGACTGGCACCTGTGAAGGTCGGCACGGCACACGAGGGGGTGGGTGCCCAGCATCACGCCCGGCCTCCTTTGTCTCCCGAGTGGCGATGTTTACGCACCGCATTCAGGCACACGTTTTAGGCTGAGTCGACCTAGGTGAGGCCCAGGACCGGTTCATATAATCACAACAAAAGACAACGATCCCACACACAGCCTTTAACAGCCTGTTGGGGTAAGTGCTGTAAAAAAAGACAGCGATGAAAGCTAACGATGCGTATATACTGCGAGCATATGCAGACATTCCTGTGCACGTACGTACGTACACGCGCATGCCGCAATTGAATTCTGCTTCATATTCTGTACATAGACAGTGAGTACTGGGGGGTGGGTCCTTATTAAACATTTATGTTGGACCTTAAAATTGTTTTCATCAGGACCCCGGTAGCGACCCTCATATAAGATCGTTTCGATGAGGCTAACATATCACGGTCATGCATAGTACGACCACAACAAAGAGTCCCAATCGTGAAACGTCGTTCGCTACGTAGGGACCACCCCCTTGTATCACAACAACAACCGCCGTTCGCCACAGCGCCCGTGCCAGGCTAGGTGTGCCCTGAGGCCACGCGTCGAAGGCTCACAGCTGACTGGAGGCACCGGCGGTAGTTGTCGCACAGGTTCGCGGTTCGGATCTCGCGGCCGCCCTGGTTAACACCGCGGTGCGTTCATCAGAACGCCAATGTGTGGTTTACACATGCCGGCGCCTTTCTGACACACAATCTGCCACTCAAAGTGCCATCATCATCATCACCACCACATTAATACTCAATATAAAATAAGAAAAATTTATACTACAGTGAGGAGAAAAAAAACCCCTTAAATATATCACTATAGCAAGGTCTAAATTTGTCAATTTAGAAAATTGCACCGAAAATTACTCAGTTGGAACTGCATAGAGCATGCATCAATTATCGCCCCCTACTACTGGCAAATTAAAGCCCCCCCACCCCGGTCAACCTTGTGAATGATACTCATCGTTGTCTCACGCGTTCTCACCTGCTTCCTCAAAATATACTTGAGACCCGAATTCACCCACACACCAACTCACGCAGCCACTCAATCGCTCATTCACCAACTCACTCAGCCACTCATTAACTCACTCAGAGAACTCACTCACCCACTCACCTCATTTACCCATTCACCCTCTCACTCGTTCATCCATTCACCCTCTCAGTCTTTTGCCCATTCACCCACCCATTCACACACCCACCCACCCATTCACCAACTCACTCAGCCACTCACTCGCTCATCCCACTCATTCACTCACTCGAGAAACCTCACCCACTCAACTCGTTCACCCATTCACCGACCCGCCCACTGACTCACTCACTCACTCACCCAGGTGACTCTTGCGAGTTAGATTATACCCGGGGCCTTTCGCAGATCGCATCTGGCCACGCAAAGTCGACTTGGAATGCCTTTGACAGCAGCAACAATAATACAGAGCGCGCGTGTGCACGCTTCGTTGACGGACAGCAGGTGGCGATCCCGTGTCGCTATGAGCGGCGGTCTCTCCCCGGAGATTCACCCCCCACCCCTCCACCTCCTCCTCCAATCTCCCCCTCCATCTCCCCCTCCCCTCCTCCTCCCCCTCTCCTCCCCTCCCGCTCATCCTCCCGCCTCTTGGAACCAGCCCCATCCCGACCCCTCCCCTCTTGTGGTACGCGCTACTACACCCAACGGAGGGACATCACCATCAGCCATTGTCTATCCACAGCTGGACGAATTCAATGTGTACAGACAAATGCTGCAGGGAGTGGTGGTGGCTACGCTACACCGCCACCATCACCCTTGTTAGGCAGTGCCGGTCTTTTCTGGACGTCTGCGGAAAAAATAGCTTTATAGCTCATCGGATTCCTCCAGTGTAAACACATATTCTGATTTTGGTCTAATAGGTGCTCGCTAACAGCACTGACCCCGGTAGCCGATGAAGGATGTGGGAGGCGATCTTCGTCTTTGTGTGCGTGTGTGGAAATTAGATTTGCATCATCATCAGCAGTAGCAGTAGCAGCAGCCATGGTCAATCCACAGCTGGATGACGGTTTTCCACTCCTCGCGATCCTGAGATATCAACAATCCGGCCAGCACGCGAGCTGATTTAATAGCTCCGTCTCTACGGACACGGCCCTTTGGGGACTAATTAAGTGAGGGGCGGGGCAGGGCAGACAATGGAGACAGGGGTTGGGGGCGGGGGATGGGGGGTGGGCACGTGGCGGGGCTGGTCAGACAATGGGGGGGGGGGGGGGTGAGGACGCATGGGTAGGTGAATGCTGGGTGAGTGACTTGGATGGATTCGCGTGGCTCGGGCGCGTGAGTGGCTCTGCGTGTGGTGGGTTTGTTCGTCGCTTCGGCGTGCGGTTTGATTCAGAGGGAGTTTGACAGGCGGATGGTCGTGCGGATTGGTCGATGTTTAGGAGGTTGGGTTGGTGTGTTCGTGGTTGGATGGGGGTGGGGGGTGTTTAATTGGGTTGGGGGTTGGTCCTGTAGTTGGACGGATGGTTGAGTTACTCGATGGGTGGTTCGTTGAATGGGTGATTCGTCGGCTATATGGCTAGTGAGTTGGGTGGTTAGTTGGGTGGGCGGTTAGTTGGGTGGGTGTTTAGTTAGGTGGTTAATGGTTGGTTAGTTGGGTGGGCGTTTAGTGGGGTGGGTTTTTAGTTGGGTGGGTGGTTAGTTGGGTGGGTGGTTAGTTGGGTGGGTGGTTAGTTTGGTGTGTAGTTAGTGGGGTGGGAATTTAGCTCGGCGGGCGGTTAGTTGAGCGAGTGGTTCATTTGCTATGCGGCTTGATAGGTGAGTGATTAGTTGGGAGGATGGTGAGGTGGGTGGATGGTGAGGTGGGTGGATGGTGAGGTGGGTGGATGGTGAGGTATGTATGGGGTTATGGGGAACAGCGCGCTGTGGAACAAACCTAACGACCCGGGTTTCGATTCCCGCTCACGGCCAACACCAGGGACGATTATTCGAACCGTTTATGAGCCTCCGCTAGGTCGACTCAGCATCAAATGCGTACCTGGCGCGGTGTGCAAACATCGTCACTGGGGAGATAAAGGCGGCCGAGCGTGGTGTTGGCCACCCACCCCCTCGTGTGCCGTGCCGGCCTTGATAGGTGCTCGCGAACAGCACTTGCCCCAGCAGTCTGTCAAAGCCACGAGGGGGATCTTTATCTTTGGGGTTAGCCCAAGAGGGCGTTCCACAGAATGACGGTCGAATCGCGTTGCATCCTCCTCCTTCCTCCTCCTCCGCCATCCCTGTCCCCTCCTCACCCCCCCCCTCCCTCGCTCTCTCGGACACGGGAGAGGTGCAGACGCTTCTCTCGGCTCTGCCCTCCTCGCCTGCTGTTGCCGATGCCGCTGCCGCCGACGACGCTGCGATAGCTGCCTGACGCGGAGTCGTACAGAAAGTCACCGACACCCGCCCGGCTTCCCTGACGATGCCACCGTCCGAGCAGAATCGGCCCGCCTCACCCTCCTCACCCCTGTCGGTGAGCAGCGATTGCCGTCCGCTACTCACCACCCACACCACACTCATCTCACCGATGTCATCTCAGATTCGCTGCCCCCTGTCATCACCCGCCCAGCCACCTAACGCGCTCCACTCACCGCTGCTGCTCTGCTCACCCAAAGTCGGCATCTTACCAATCAGGTTCATCGGTCGTCACGGCTATGTGCTCACCACTACTCACTCGCTCACCACTACTCACTCACTCACCACTACTCTCCACTCACCACTACTCTCCACTCACCACTACTCACTCGCTCACCACTACTCACTCGCTCACCACTACTCACTCGCTCACCACTACTCACTACTCACCACTACTCACTCGCTCACCACTACTCACTCGCTCACCACTACTCACTACTCACCACTACTCACTCGCTCACCACTACTCACTCGCTCACCACTATTCACTCGCTCACCAGTACCCTCCACTCACCACTACGCTCCACTCAACACTACTCTCCACTTACCACTACTCACCACTCACCACTACTCACCACTACTCACCACTCACCACTCACCACTACTCACTACTCACCACTACTCTCCACTCACCACTACGCTCCACTCAACACTACTCTCTACTCACCACTACTCACCACTAACCACTACTCACCACTCACCACTTCTCACCACTCTCCCCTACTATCCACTCACCACTACTCTCCACTCACCACTACTCTCCACTCACCACTACTTACCACTCTCCACTCACCACTACTCACCACTCACCACTACGCTCCACTCACCACTACTCTCCACTGATCCTTACCACCATTCACTCCTACTCACCACTCACCACTACTCACCACTCTCCCCTACTATCCACTCACCATTACTCTCCACTCACCACTACTCACCACTCACCACTACTCACCACTCAACCGCTCCTCTCAAATCCCACTCCCTCGTGCACTCGACCAGGGCACACGCGTTGGTAATTGTCCATTGCCACGCACGTGATCCTGTGTGCTGTCATGTTCTCGACTTCTGCCGTTGCGACCACGCACGGATGAGCTTTAGTCCGCAGTCTTCATCTTGACGACGATGCTGCTGTTGGTGATGCTAGTAGTCTCATTACCATGGTGGTGGTGGTGGTTCATCTTTCTGATGATGATTGTGATCGCGATTATCGTGATGGTCGTTGTGGTAGTGATAATGGTGGTGGTTATTAGTCACGATAATTGTAGTTATCATGGTGATAGTGGTGGTGGTGGTGATGATGCTGGTAGTGATGGCGGCAGTGCTTACCATGATGATGGTGGTGGTGGTGATAGCGGTGGTGGTGGTAACGATGGTAATTGTGATGAAGATCGTGGTGGTGATGATGGTGATAGTGGTGGTGGTCATAGTGGTGCTTATTATAATTATGACGACGATGATAGTGGTGGTAGTGGTGGTGGTCGTAGACTACAAAGACCCAAACCAACGTGGCCGTGCCACGGGTACGAATTCATCCGCAGTTCGCCTGCCAATCCCAGTGGGATCGGTTCGCCCGTGTGAGCTGTTGAGCTGTTGCGCGGCTGGGGATAGCAGCGGCAGTGGTGGTAGGAGCGCTGATTAATTACACATTGATGAGATGCGGGCATCCGAGGATGCGCGCGTGTTGGAAAGCGTGTTCCAGAAATGCATGCGGGTTGTTGTCTTTACCCCATTCTCCCAAAACATTGATGTTGTTGTTGTCGTCAGAAACGACTCGAACCGATTAGAGTCCAAACATCTTCCAGTGTTTTGTTATTATATATGTAAAGGTCGCACTCGTTATGAAGGTGGCACTCGTTATCAAGTTGCTTGCCGCGAATGAACTACGGTGCCTCGCTGATTTCGCTCAAGGAGCGTAAGCCACCGCGCCGGTGGCAGCAACGCGAAGCCATCGGACAAAGACGGCCACCGCTTTCAGATGGGCTTCTGCGGCCGTCTGGAACGCTCTTTCCTTCCGGTATTATGAAAAAACTGGGAGCTGTCCAACCGTTAAATCGTCATCTAGATTGGAAACTCATTTCGTTGGAACTGGCCTTTTGTGTTTAGTTTAACACGTAGGCTTTCGCGATCAATATCATTCGTAATAGAGGTTGTTTGGGTTAGATCGCGTAAATATATAAATGTGTCGTTAAACCCGCCACCACGCGACACAGCCAACTAGTAAGGGTTGTCACGTAAACAGAACGTGGCCAATTCGTCACTAGTACAGCACACCGGTGTGTTGGAGAGCCAAGCCACAACATTAACAATCCGAGTACGACGTTGTGTTTAGTTCGTTGTCCTTCCCCTGCACCTCCGATCACGACGGCTGGACGCGTACGGTGCGAATGAAGTTCTACATGCGTGCGGTTTCCGAGTGACAGCCAACACGAGTCGGGCAGTAGCGGTGCCTCTGCATTGCACGCATCTGTGAGCAACAGCACATCTCGTGATCTGGCAGTTACGCTTTGTGTGTGTGTGTTCTCGTAGGTTGACTCAGCCTCAAATGAGTAGCTGGTGCGCTGTGCAAACATCGCCACTGGGGAGACAAAGGCGATCGGGCATGGTGCTGGCCATTCAACCCCTCGTGTGCCGTGCCGGCCTTCATAGCCATTCGCTCACAGCACTTGACCCAATAGTCTGTTAAGCCTATGCGGGGGATCTTTGCCTACGTCTCATATTGCGAGGAACGGACACAAGCGAACGAATTCGATTCCCGCTCACAGCCCGAAGTCGATGACGAATATCTGAACTGATCTTGGGTCTCACCTAGCTCGACTCGGCCTCAAATGAGTACTTGGTGTGGTGTGTGAACATGATAATTGGAGAAACACAGGAGGCCGGGATGTGTCTCCGTCTGTCTCAGAAACACACGGTAACGCGCCGATTTGATGGATAACACACAACCACACGGACGCACACGGAGACAAAGAATCCCCCTATTTATAGCCTTCACAAACTGTTCGGGCAAGTGCTGTGAGTGAGCGCCTATGATGGCCGGGACGGCACACGTGGTGGTGATTAGCCAGCACCACGCCCGGCCGCCTTTGTCTCTCCCGTGGGGATCTTTTCCACATCGTACCAGGTAATAATTTGAAGGCGATTCGCCCAGGACCGGTTCCGATAATCGTCACCGGTCTTTGGCCGTGAGCGGGAATCAAACTCGGGTCGTCGGATTCGTAGCGACACCACCGCACCCACACACGCACAGTTGCACACGGACAAAGACAACCGCCCGCCTCATAGAATGAACATACTGTTCTGGGTAAGTGCTGTTAGCGAACGCCGATGAAGAGAAACACGTGACTATCACCTCGCCAGGCCGCCTTTGTCTTCCTAGTGGTGATATGGACACAACTACACACCGCACCAGGTACTGCTTTGAGGTTGAGTCAACCTAGGGGTAACCAAGCATTGGTTCAGATATCGATCGCAACGAAATGTAAAGGCGTGGTCTGGAATCACGCAACACAGCCGACACGTGGTCTCACACAGCTGACACGTGACGTCACACAGCTGACACGTGGTCTCACACAGCTGACACGTGACGTCACACAGCTGACACGTGGTCTCACACAGCTGACACGTGACGTCACACAGCCGACACGCGGTCTCACACAGCTGACACGTGACGTCACACAGCTGACACGTGGTCTCACACAGCTGACACGTGACGTCACACAGCTGACACGTGGTCTCACACAGCTGACACGTGACGTCACACAGCCAACACGCGGTCTCACACAGCTGACACGTGACGTCACACAGCTGACACGTGGTCTCGCACAGCTGACACGTGACGTCACACAGCTGACACGCGGTCTCGCACAGCCGACACGTGACGTCACACAGCCGACACGCGGTCTCACACAGCTGACACGTGACGTCACACAGCTGACACGTGGTCTCGCACAGCTGACACGTGACGTCACACAGCTGACACGTAATGTCACACAGCTGACACGCGGTCTCACACAGCTGACACGTGGACTCACACAGCTGACAAGTCGTCTCACACAGCTGACACGTGACGTCACACAGCTGACACGTGGTTTCACACAGCTGACCGCCACCACCCGCTCGCCACTAATCGATTCGCCGTTCATTTTCGCGCGGATTCGGCGCGGCCACTCAATCATTTAACGAGAAGTGAATGCGCTGCCCCGAATCCGTGCCTCCCGCATCACAAAATGACAGGGATCCACCCTCGTGCCTATCCACACACACATACGCGCGTGTTTTATTTATTTTGTGTTACACACAGCCCAACAAATGGGTAAATAGAGCGACCGGTGTCAATGCGAACGTGAAATAAGCGAGCGGTGTGGAGTGGTAGGTGTAGAGTGGTTGGTGTAGAGTGGTTGGTGTAGAGTGGTCGGTGTAGAGTGGTTGGTGTAGAGTGGTTGGTGTAGAGTGATTGGTGTAGAGTGGTTAGTGTAGGGTGGTGGTGTAGAGTGGTTAGTGTAGGGTGGTTGGTGTAGAGTGGTTGGTGTAGAGTGGTTAGTGTAGGGTGGTGGTGTAGAGTGGTTGGTGTTGAGTGGTTGGTGTAGGGTGGTGGTGTAGAGTGGTTGGTGTAGAGTGGTTGGTGTTGAGTGGTTGGTGCAGGGTGGTGGTGTAGAGTGGGGAGTGTAGGGTGGTGGTGTAGAGTGGTTAGTGTAGGGTGGTTGGTGTAGAGTGGTTGGTGTAGAGTGATTGGTGTAGGGTGGTTAGTGTAGGGTGGTTAGTATAGGGTGGTGGTGTAGAGTGGTTGGTGTAGAGTGGTTGGTGTAGGGTGGTGGTGTAGAGTGGGGAGTGTAGAGTGGTTAGTGTAGGGTAGTTGGTAAAGTTCAAATCTTGGTTGGTGAAGGAGTGGGGCGGGAGGGGGCGGGGGTTGACTCAGCCGATCATCTCGACGGGGTGTGTACAAATAGTACCACGTTGTGAAGAAGTCAACATTGGTTGTCCGATGCGACCCAGCTGTAGGAATGTGGAATTTCCACGACTGGTCCAATCAAGGCTGTAAACATGCCATGAGCACCA